CATTTCAAAAGTCCGTAAACTGGTTTCTACTGCAGATCTGGAAAAAAATCCTCCATGCCTTTGTGTCATCACGCTTAGACTACTGTAACGCTCTTTTTACTGGTCTCAGCAAAACCTCCCTCTCACGCCTTCAAGCCATCCAAAATGCAGCAGCCAGACTCCTAACCAAATCCAGCAGACGAGCTCGCATCACTCCAGTTTTACAGTCCCTCCACTGGCTCCCGGTAGAATATAGAATACAGTTTAAAGTTTTAGTGCTGACCTATAGAGCTCTTAACAACCAGGCTCCAAGCTACCTATCTGAGCTTTTATCTCCACACACCACCTCTCGGAACCTCCGATCCACATCTGAAAACCTCCTGGCTGTTCCTCGAACCAGACTAAAAACCAAGGGGGACAGGGCCTTTCAGACTATTGCACCCAGACTTTGGAACAGTCTACCTTCTAATCTCTGTCTCTCAAACACTGTAGAGGTCTTTAAAAATCATCTAAAAACTCACCTTTTCATCCAGGCGTTCCCTCCCTAAATGTTCTAAAAGATGGCTTTGTTCGGGTTCACACCTTCACTTTGTTTATACTCATGATTTTATTTTCTATTTTATCACTGCTATTGTTTTTCTGATGTTTGTATTGGTTTGAGGTATTTGCCCTGATCTTTATCATGTTGTACAGCGCTTTGTGATTTATATCTGTGAAAGGTGCCATATAAATAAACTTTTACTTACTTACTTACTTAACAATCAACAGAATTAACACTGTTTAACTCATAGTAGATTAAAATGTTTCACTGTAAATATTTTGTTTTTACTTGTAGGCATTTTCAAAGGAAATTACAAAACATTTTTTAAAGGTAAGAAAAGAAAGAAAGAAAATGATCTTTGACAGAGCGCCTCTCAAGATAGACATCACGAGGCGATTCACAAAAACAAAAAATTAAAAATAAAAACTATTTCAAAAAAATATTAAAAATGTTTAAAATGAGAAAAATATTAAATGCTGTGATTTAAAAAAATGAAAGGCAAAGGAGCAAGAAAATGAACAGGAAAGAGGGAAATCAGTGGATCTCGGGAAAAGGCGGAATAAGAGCAGAATAAAGAGAGGGTGATGAAGGTCACACCAAAGCTTGAACAAGTGAGTTTTCAGCTGCTTTTTAAAGGAGACCACTGAGTCCACAGATCTCAGGCTCAGGGGGAGAGAGCCTGGTGCACTGCACAACCAACACGCTTGGATCATTGGACATCTGGGGGTGAAGGTACTGAGAAGATCACCAATGTAAGATGGTGCTTGTCCATGTAAGGCCCTATAGACCAGAACCAGGATCTTGAAATGAACCCTGAAGTTGACTGGCAGCCAGTGAAGCTGGAGGAGAAGCGGGGTGATGTGGGTGTGTTTGGAGGACTTGGTCAGAAGCCGAGCACAGGCATTCTGAACCACCTGTAGACGGTTCAGGGAGGTTCTGCTCAGACACGTGAAAAGAGAGTTACAGTAGTCTAAGCGTGAGGAGATGAAGGTGTGGAGAACTGTCTCAAGTTCAGAGCGGGACAGACGGGGACTCAGCTTAGCAACGTTCCTGAGATGGAAGAAGGAAGAGCGAACAAGAGAACTGACATGAGAATCCAGGGTGAGAGCTGGGTCATTTCATTTCATTGTTGAATTATATAGAGCCTTCTCATCACCAGTCAAGGCAGCCCAAAGCACTGAACACGATAAAACACAAGATTTGCGCTTAGACCTCGGCACAACCAAGAGGTCATCCGCAGCAGGGCGGTGTAATCTTGAGGAGACCTATTTCTCCAGAAGGGATGAAAGGTAAGGAGGAGCTGTCCCTGCCAGAGACTGATATGTGAGAATAATCACTTTAGCTTCAATGCAGTGCCTAACTGGAAGTCACCGCAGGGTGTGCAGTACTGGCGAGATGCTCTCCTATCTTTTAACCCCTGTGATGAATCTCGCTGCGGCATTCTGGACCATCTGGAGCCTTGAGAGTGTAGATGCACTTAGACCGACATAAAGCGAGTTACAGTAGTCGAGTCTGGACAGGACAGGACATACGGGCTTGATCCTGGACAAGCGCCGAAGTTGAAAGAATCAAGAGGGTCAAGCAAAGGTCAAAGGTCACTCCGAGATTCCTGACAGAGGGTTTGGTGTGAGAAGCAAGCTGACCAAGAGAGTCTCTGACTTTGGGAACCAGCTTGTCTGGGGCACAGATGAGGATCTCAGTCTTATCTTCATTCAGCTGAAGAAAGCTCCCAGCCATCCAGGTTTTGATAGTCTAAGCAGGTGTGTAACAGCTGCAGCTTAGACATCTTATGGTGCTTAAAGGAGATGTACAGTTGGGTGTCATCTGCATAAAGATGGTAGGAGATTCCTTTAAAGGAGTTCAGGATGTGCTGAAGAGGAAGCAGATAAGAGGAGGAAGAGTAGGGGTCCCAGCACAGGACCTTGTGGGGCACCGTGGGTGAAGGAGGTGGTGGAGGACCTAAACTTGGAGACGGCCACAGAGAAGGAGGGCTCAGACAGATAAGAGAACCACTCCAGAGCAGATCCTGACAGGCCTACCCAGTCTCTCACGCCGGGGACACACCGGCCGCGGAAGCGCCGCGAAGCGCCGAGAAGCGCCGAGAAGCGAATCGCTCACGAAATTCGGCCGCTGCTCGCCGCTCCTTAGTTCAGATCAGACGCGCCCCAGTCAAGGCGCGCCTCGGCTCAGCTGTAGTTTTTCTTTTAAACACTTGGTGTCCTCCATTGCCTTTTCTCAGCTCTTTTCCTCTACGTTTGAGTGTGTGTGTGTGTGTGTGTGCGTGCGTGCGCGCGTGTGTGTGTGTGTGTGTGTGTGTGTGTGTGTGTGTGTGTGTGTGTGTGAAAACCTATGGTATGAGTCGTTTCTGCCAGTTGAATCTCTTGGAACCCGCTCCAATTCTGCAGCTGTATCCTAGCAGTTTCCTCCGAAATGGGTTGATAAATAATCATGTTTTTCGGGGGTCGTACAGCTCGTGTTTCTCAACTTCCATAATTAATTTAAAGTCATCCATCTTAACTGCTTGCCTCAGACTTTCTGCCTCTCTGTCCTGTTTGCTCCGGTGAAAAGACACCCAAAACCACACACCCCTTCACGCGGTCACACACGCACACAAGTTCAATGTGTGTGTGTGTTCGTGTGGTTTTTCTGCAGTGTCTGATTACGAACACATTTGACTATTGCGGAATTTTATTTTGAAATGCTTTATTTTGTTAACTTTACCGGCCTGCCTCTTATGTCTACGTTTGACTTCCTGCCAGAACTGACGCGATTCACTCGCGGCTCGCGAAAAAAAATAGAGCCAACGCCGAAATGATCGCTGCATGGCGCGGGCTGGAGCGGTCCTATTTTCGCGGCGCTTCCGCGGCCAGTGTGTCCCCGGCGTCAGCCTCTCCAGTAGCAGGTGATGGTCAACAGTGTCAAAGGCTGCAGTCAGGTCCAGCAGGACCAGAACAGATCAGTCCCCTGCATCACTGTGAGTCAGAAGGTTGCTAGAGTGGAATGAGCTCAACAAAATCCTGACTGGAAACTATCGAAAGGTGCAGTATGTAAAAATATGGTGATCCTTTTACAGTGAGAAAATCCTAAGAGTCTAATGTTTCAGTCATTTGGAAATAAGGTTATACTGAAACACATGTCATATCCAGCTGGCTGCTGGAGGGAACGTGACTATTGTTTACCATCAGTGAGTGTGGGTGGGGTCACCGTGTCTCCTGCGAGCTAATGCTGCAGCGCCAACAGTTGTCATTTGACGACGGCCAGCAAAAAGTACCAGAGTTGCTTAAAGTGGCTGCAGTAACCAAAATTTTATCACAAGATGCCATTTTTACTTCATTTCTACACAATGCACCTTTAAATAAAGTCAAGGTAATTTTCACAGAACAAAATTGTACTTTAATAATTGCTATGGTAAATTTTATACGCTGTTTAGAGGCACAGATTTTATTTTAAATTATTTTCACATTTTCCATAACTTTTCTTTCCTGAAAGAGCCGAAAGCCACGCCTCACAACGTGCACGCACAGCGTAAGCGAAGTCATTATGGAGCATCGCTGCGTTGACCCACAGCTGACCTGTTGTTTGCAATGGACTTCTCTGAGGTAAGATCAGAAATTTATTGTTTACAAAAGACATTTTATGATGAACAAATAGTTTGAAAAGACCAGTTACTGTTCACATAATCCGTATTATAAATAAACCCACCACTATCGAATAGTTAGCATTTTATTGAGTCATTAGCCTATCCTAGCATTAGCTCCATGGGATAGTTTACGTTTAAATGGCCTGTATTTCTATAGCGCCTTCTACAACCCCCCAAGGCACTTTACACAGTCAGTCATCCACCCACTCACACGCTGGTGGGAATAAGCTACAATGTAGCTACAGCTGCCCCGGTTCTGTAGAAATACATGTCATTAACGGGTTTAGGCCTAAATTGGACAAGATGTAAATCTGATTTAAATGTATTTATGTGTGAAATTTTATTTAATACTCTAGAGGTTTTTATCGCATTTGTATATTTTCTATTTAACAGTAGAGCTCAGTTATTGAAGAATCCTCTGAGGAAGGGTTTGAACCTCCCGTTGCATCCCGAAGACAACGTGATTCAAAAAAAGACGCCGCCCATCATCCTCACAAGGACGCGGTGCGTCCAGAGGCTGAATAAGTGCAAGGCACCCGGCATGGAGTGGAAGAGTTCAGAATCTTAGATCCAAACGATAAAGTTTGAACTGGTAAGCACAATTTTATTACTCAACACAAAATAATACTCAATATTGCTGCTTTAATGGTTCTCTTTCATTTTTATAGCAACACATATAGAACCCTCAGCAGGCTGTTGACGTTCTCACCAGGGTGCTGGACAGAGACCCTGGTGATCTCTTGGATGTATTTGTCCTCTCTGGTCCTTCGGCTACAACTCCTCAATCAACCTTCAAACCATCCACACATCAAAACTCACTAAAGCATTCTTTCCCTCCAGTTCAAGTGTTAAATTTAAATTTTATTCATTTTCTTTAAATAATAAAATCAATAACAGACTAAGCCCATTCTATTATAATCCGACTGTTGGGAGGAACAACATCTGAGTCAGACAGAAGAACACTTTTTGTTTGGGGAGAAAAAAAGAAAAAATTACTGCCAGTAATTATACCAACCTACGGGTTTGGCAGAAAGTTTAATGAAATTTCAAAGGCATAAAAAAAATTCATCCATTAAATATTATTTTTCATTGTCTTCAAACACATGTAGAGTCAGTTGACCCTGACAGAGTCTCTCTTGTCCCGTTATTCCTTTCGTCTAAGGGAGGAGGAGTTCAGTGGCATCATGGCGGAGCTGAAGGTGCTTCAGGTTTAGGTTTCTTTGTGGGATCTAAAACAGTTCCTTCATACACGACCTTGTTCTTGATGCCTTCCTGTAAAAACCTCTGCTGCACTCGTAGTTTAGCGTTGCTTATCCTGCAGTAAAACCTGGAAACAGACAATGTTTCTGTTACAAACACGGAAATGAAACAGAATAAATGAGAGAGAAAAGGCTGTTTAAACCAAGTGTCATAAGACATACCAGGAACCAAGAGTGGTGATCATGAAACCAGCAAACCCCACGTCAAAAGACCTCCTCACTCGACCTAAAGATAACAGGCAGCGGGAAAAATAAAATGTATTCATCTGGTCGTGTCAACAGTACTTTGGCTTTACCAGAGTACAGCTGATCATGAGTAAAAAGGCAAGAAAGATTTTTCAGATCATTTTTTTATGTTCAAAGATCAAAATGAGTCTAAAATCAAACTCACTGGTAGCTAGAAAATAAAGCATGCCAGCAGCTAGTGAGCCTCCGGCTCCGTGAAGGATGGCCTCTCTGGAACATGGGATCCTCTGAACGTCCAGGATCCCCAAGAGCTTAAAACCCTGGAGGACACAGAAGACAGAGAAGACAATTACAGACTGAGACGGACATCATCCATCAATTTCCACTTATCCAGGGTCAAGTTGTGGGGGCAGCTGCCTAAGCAGAGAGGCCCACACTCCCCAACCACTTGGGCCAGCTGGCCCAGGGAATTCTAAAGCCTAGTTTATACTTCTGTGTCTGCATCAGTGCAGAGACACACGCCCTTATCCATCGTTGAAAGGGCTCTCCAACAGGCTGGCAAGGACAGACAGACTAGAGCCCACTTTCTAAATATCTCTCAAAAGCAAAAGAAACCACAAGCCCGTGATTGGTCAGGACACTGCTTCATTTTATTTCGTAAACAGCACCACCATTCCCCCTCAAAAAAATAAATCACTAACTGAACATTTCTAGCGACAGACAAGGAGCAGATTGAGTTACGCCTTGCTGTAAAAGTTGGATAGTTTATAAACCCTGAAGGATTACAAAAACACTTTTTATTTGTGTCAGGAAATAACGAGAAACACGAGATTAGAGGCAGTGACTGAATGAAGAAGTGGAGAACAAAATTATCTGCGTTAACAAGTCTCTGAAATGCAGAAACACAATGTAAACACCCTAGAAATGTGACTGCATTGATAGCAGGATACCCCAGAATAGTACTTCGCTATCCTGTCGGGAGAATTGCTACACGACATCAACGGAGAAGAACAACTGGAAAACGTTGTCGTCGTCTTCCTCCGCTTATCCGGGTCCGGGTCGTGGGGCAGCATCCCAACTAGGGAGCTCCAGACTGTCCCCTCCCCGGTCACCTCCACCAGCTCCTCTGGCAGGACCCCAAGGCGTTCCCGGACCAGATTGGAGATGTAACCTCTCCAACGTGTCCTGGGTCGACCCGGGGGCCTCCTGCCGGCAGGACATGCCAGAAACACCTCCCCGGGGAGGCATCCAGGAGGCATCCTGACTAGATGCCCAAACCACCTCAACTGGCTCCTTTCGATCCGGAGGAGCAGCAGTTCTACTCCGAGTCTCTCCCGAATATCCAAGCTCCTCACCCTATCTCTAAGGCTGAGCCCGGCCACCCTACGGAGGAAATTCATTTTGGCCGCTTGTGTCCGCGATCTCGTTCTTTCGGTCATTACCCAAAGCTCATGACCATAGGTGAGGATTGGGACGTAGATCGACCGGTAAATCGAGAGCCTGGCTTTCTGGCTCAGCTCCCTCTTCCCCACGACAGATCGGCTCAGCGTCCGCATCACTGCAGACGCCGAACCAATCCGCCTGTCGATCTCCCGATCCCCCCTACCCTCACTCGTGAACAAGACCCCGAGATACTTAAACTCCTCCACTTGAGGTAGGACCTCTCCCCGACCCTGAGGTGGCAAGCCACCCTTTTCTGGTCGAGAACCATGGTCTCAGATTTGGAGGTGCTGATCCTCATCCCAGCCGCTTCACACTCTGCCGCGAACTTACCCAGCAAGAGCTGAAGGTCAGAGCTGGATGAAGCTAGGAGGACCACATCATCCGCAAAAAGCAGAGACGAGATTCTCCTGCCACCAAACTCGACACACTCCATACCACGGCTGCGCCTAGAAATTCTGTCCATAAAGGTAATGAACAGAACCGGTGACAAAGGGCAGCCCTGGCGGAGTCCAACCCTCACCAGGAACAGGTCCGACTTACTACCGGCTATGCGGACCAAACTCACGCAAGGACTTGGGTTCCAGAGCCAATGCTATGTGTCGAGGTGAGTCCGACTATATCTAGCCGGTACCGCTCAACCTCTGCCACAAGCTCCTGCTCCTTCCCCGCCAGCGAGGTGACCTTCCATGTCCCAAAAAACAGTTTTCTTGTCTGGGGATTGGACCGCCAAGGCTCCTGCCTTGGTCTGCCACCCGATCCACATTACACCGGACCCTTCATGTTCCTCCTGCGGGTGGTGGGTCCACAGTTGGATGAGCCCATGTATCCGGTTCGGGATGGGCCCGGCCTGGCCCCATGGGCGAAAGCCCGGCCACTAGGCGCTCGCTCACGGGCCCGACCCCAGGCCTGGCTCCAGGGTGGGACCCCGGTAACCCTCCGGGCCGGGTACTCCGACTCTTTGAATTTACATCCATGAAAGATCCTGTGAACTGGAAAACGTCTACATCAATATGTGTGCCTATGAGTGCAAACTTGTTGACGGAGAAGTATAAACTAGCTTTACAGTTTTTCTCAGTTGCTTTGGTGCATTTCTCACAACAGAATTAAACTTTGCACAACAGTTAGTTCAACCTCCACAACATGTAGTCGTTTTGGCACAACCTAGTGGCAAATGCCTTTGGACATGAAGCAGTTGAGTAAGTACAAATGTCTACAGAATGGTCACTTTTGAATTGCTATTCATCACTATCTCCTTGATTTTATCATGAATGTCACAATTATTTATACTTGTACCAGCTGAATAGTCATTGTCCTTACAACTAATAGTCTTCATTTCATTGCTTGTGTTGTTGCACTCAAAATTGTTGAACATCTTGCCAAACAATTTGTACACCCATTTTGAAAATCCTATTTTTAAGGAGTTTCCATGGAAATCTCCATAAATTACTTTTCTCAGGTGAACCTTATCTCACACTAATGAAAATTGGTGTGTGTGTCCTGGTGACAATCAGACAATGTATGTAGTGGTTTGGGATGTTAGCTTCCATCACTCTGCTATAGTCAGGCAGTGGTTTGATGCACACGACAGGATGCTTATGGAGTTTCTTCCTCCTTACACTCCATTCCTAAATCCAATTGAGGAGTTTTTCTCTTCCTGGAGGTGGAAGGTATATGCCAGGCATCCACATACCCAAATGACTCTGCTAGCAGGTATGGATGCAGCTTGTGATGACATCACAGCAGAGTCCTGCAGAAATCCGACACTCCAGAGGATACTTTCCCCGATGCATCGATAGAGCTGACATTCCCTGTGATGTTGATGAAAGTATGTGGGCACAGATGGGAGCGTCTAGATATCAATGATTGATATGCAGCAGTGTCTGTTCAGTTTTTTTTTTGTTTCATAACTACTGCAGTAAGGTTTACTGTCTAAGTGAGTTTATGTTTGCTGTAAAATGTTTGTTTTTACTGTACTTCCCCAGTTGCACAATGCTGTGAACAGTTTCAGTTAAATATTATCAAGAGTGCATATGAAGTGTCTTGATTTTCCTTTACAATTGATGGTTTTCAACACACCATGCATGCTGTCCAGACTTGACATGTCATTGGGAAGCACCTACAAAGAAATCCGTCACAATGAGAACATGTGCAAACCATTTGATTTTGTGACCAAAGGTGCTGGTGTAATGACTTGTAATTGTGACAGCCCTGACACTTTAATTGGTATAAGTACTTGCTTTTGATGAATATATTATCTGTTTTGATTAAGAGACTTGCTTTTGATGCAATGCCTACTTATTTTGAGCAATGTACTTTTCTTTTTGATGAAGTGACTCACTTTTGCAAGTTATCCACCAAGTTTTGCAGTTTTCACAAATTGTTTTGAGAAGAGCGTTAGTAGTGGTGCAGAGATCAATTCTGTTGTGAGAAATGCACCAAAGCAACTGAGAAAAACTGTAATGCGTTCCCAGGCCAGACAAGAGACATAGTCCCTCCAGCATTTTTAGTTCTCCTCCAGGTTGGATGTGCCAGAAAATCTCACATGGGAGGAGTACAGGAGGCATCCTGACCCGAGCTACCTCAACTGGCTCCTCTTGATGTGGAGGAGCAGTGGATCTACTACGAGCCCCGCCTGGATGACCGATCATGACCATAGATGAGGGTCGGACCGTAAAGCTCTCTTCACCATGGCAGACCGGTACAACACCCACATCACGATAGGCGCAGCACCAATCCACCTAGCAAACTCATGCTTCTTTTCCTCCACTTGACCCAGGAGCCCATCCAGGACCCGCAGAAGGCCTTTCATCCTTTTCCAGCTAAAGACAATGGTCTCGGATTATAAGGAGCTGATCTTCAGACCCAGCTGCTTCATGCTGAGCTGCGAAAGTCTGAGATCACACTGGGGGAGAAATATTTAATAAAATGTTTAGCAAAAACCTAATCCGTCATATTTCTTTCCTGGTGTAACATTTACAATTTTAATGTGTTAATTTAAATTTTACTGGACTAATCATGGTGATTTTTGTTTCTAGATAATATTTAATCATACTTAAATGTATACTGGAAATTATATTTTAAAAGTTCATTCTGGACATTTCAACCTGAGTTTCCACCTACGTCCTTGTTTTATTTCACTTTTCCCCACTGTGGTCCTCGGGAATGGAGAACATTTAGAGTTAGTGCAACAAAAAAGGATGTTAGATGTATAGAGAAAGTCAGTATTAGTGAGTGGTGGTCTTTAGCATCAACAGAACGACAAACATCTCTAAAGAGCAGCGTTAGTCTATTCTGCCCCTGAGAGCACGGTTCCCCTGATTGGTCAAAAACTTGGTCATTTATCTTCTGCCGTCAAGACAAACCTAAGGAATTTGGCTGTTGTTTTTGACCAATCAATGTCTCTTGAAGGCCACTCAAAAACATTGGTCCGAAAATGTTTTTATCATTTAAGAAACATCTCCAAACTGTGAAGGTTGGTGTCAAAACATGAACTAGAAATGGTTCTCCATGCCTTTATTTCCTCCCGTCTAGATTACTGTGACACACTCTTCACAGGTTTTAACATAAAAGCCCTTGAACATCTTCAGTTGGTCCAGAACTCTGCAGCGAGGCTCCTAACTGGAGCAAACAAAAGAGCTCACATCACTCCTATTCTAATGTCTCTGCACTGGTTACCCGTTAACTTTAGAGTTCATTTTAGAATCCGGACTATAAATGCTCTACATGGTCAAGCTCCTCCCTATATTACTGGACTGTTCCAACCCGAGCCCTCAGGTCCACACACCGGAACCTTCTAAAAGTTCCAAAGACCAGATACAGAGGTGATCGTTCCTTCCAGACTGTTGCACCCTGACATTGAAATGATCTTCCTTTATCCTTATGTAGCATTAACAGTCTGGACACTTTTAAACAGCTGAAGACCCTTTTATAAAAAGCTGTTTTCACATAAATCTTTGATTTTCTTGTTCTGAACTCAAATTTGTAACCTTTCATCTGTTTATTACATTTTATAACGGTATTTGTATTGATGTTTTGAGGTTATGCTTTTTTGTTTTGAGACCATTATGATTTTATGACTTTATGTTTTATTTTAATCTATGTGAACCACTTTGTGATACTATTTCTGTGATAAGAGCTATATAAATAAAATGTACTTACTGTGTGAGAAAATCGAGAGATGAAGGTTATCTGATCCGTCAGCTAATATTCTTTAACCAGTTGGTGTTCATTAAGAATTACACTCAATTATATATTAAATACGCACGAAGTAAAACCTGACTGGATACTTAAATGCGAGTTGATCGTTAGAAATTATGTGCGCACGATAGTGACCTTTCAAAAACAACAATAAAGGACATTTGATCGTTTTTTTTGTTTGTTTTTTGTATTTCTGAGTCTATCATGAAGTTCTGACCTTGTTCGGACTGCCCTCGTCTTCCTCTGCCATCGCTCCAGCTGAATAACTCCCTTTTGTTCAGTTTCCTAAACGAAACAACCCCAAATTTAGTTTTTCGTAACAGCATTTGTTTCGCGCATGCGCACCGATTGGCTAAATGGTCCGTCTTCCTTATGTCACCGGAGGAAACGAGTACGAGAAAAGATTCGTTCCTACTTCATTTGTTTGTCAAAATGTGTTACTCTCCGTAAACCTTGTCCCCAAACAATTTCCACTTTCCACAGAATAAAATGCACAGAATTTTACGTAGATAGTTAAAAATCGTAGTATCACTCTGTATTTCATAATTTTTTGTGACACGTTAAAGGGCAGAGATTTGACCAAGTCACTGCTTTGCAAATCCCGAGTAAGTCACAAGTCTTTCCAGTCAAGTCTCAAGCCAAGTCCAAGTCAAAGACAACCAAGTCCAAGTCGAGTCCAAAGTCAATGATGTGGAAGTCCAAGTCAAGTCCAAGTTCTTAAACCTCTCAGGCTCAAAATAAGTTTTGATAAAAGCACGAACAACTAAGTCCTTCAGGGGTACTTCTGAGTTAATAAATACTCATGAAATACGTGTGTGGAGTAACCAGGTAGGTAGGTTTTAACTGTTGCAAATCTGCAACGCCTGCCTCCAGAGGGTTAACTTTGAATTTTCAAGTCATAATCAGTCCAACTTCTATTTAATGACAATGATAATAAATAAATTCCAGAAATAAAGCTTCTTAACCCTCTGGAGGTAGGCGTTGCAGATTTGCAACAGTTAAAACCTACCTAACTGGGTACTCCACATATATATTTCATGAGCATTTTTTAATTCAGAAGTACACCTGAAGGGCTTAGTTGTTTGTGCTTTTATCAAAACTTATTTCGAGCCTGAGAGGGTTAAAGCTTAATTTATTAGCTCAAACAAGCAGAAAGTGCAACTGAAATTAACAAAGTGCTGCTGCATTTAGCAGTACAACATCAAACCCAGAATGAAGAATGATTTATGATTTGTGTCCATGTCATGCCACTTTTGTGCTAAAATATCAAATATTCTCAAGTCATCATCAAGTCAACAGATGCAAGTCAATTCAAGTCACAAGTCATTGGCGTTCAAGTCCGAGTCAAGTCGTACTCCTTAAAGATTTTATCAAGTCAAGTCAGAAGTCATTAAAATAATGACTCAAGTCTGACTCGAGTCCAAGTCATGTGACTTCAGTCCACTCCTCTGTTAAAGGGTAACACATTTTGTCAGAACACCGAAAGTGTAAAGCTATCTTTTTTTTCTCAAATCAACTTTATTTATATACACTTTACACAAAACAAAAGGCTACAAAATAGAAACTTTGAATTAACGTAGAGCAAAATAAAACCACCATTAAACAAATACATAAATAAATAAAACATAAGAAGACAGATCACAATGTTGATAACTCACGCTAAATGCAAAAGGCCAAAGTCAACAAGTGATTCTAAAATGGATACAGAAGGCGTCTGTCTAATTAGCAAAGACAGCTCATTCCATAATTTAGGTGCCACCAATAAAATGCCTCAGTCCCCTCGTTCGACAAGTCCTGGGCACACTTAAGAGTAGTTGGTCAGCTGATCTGAGTGACTGTGAAAGTGTAAAATAATGAAGAAGCTCAGAAAGGGGCAATGAGGTAACACCAGATAATTGATCCTGTAATGCACAAAGGCGGCAGCCGGTGTGGCGACATTAAGACGGGGGTGATGTGCTCATATTTGTGAGGGTTTGTTAAAAGATATGCAGCCGAATTCTGAATAAATTGTAGTCAAGAAATCACTCTCCCCAAGATGAAGAGCACCGCAGTAGTCCTGCTAAGTAGTTTTAAGACATGGGTCGTCATTTCAAATTTCTGTTGAGCTAAAATGACAGAAACTTGATCTGGCAACTGCCCGGTATTCTAACTATTCGTGCTTCCTCGTCAAATATTCCTACCGCAGCGTGTTGCGACAGTTTCGCTCTTGTTTACAATAACACTCTTATTATGCACTGTTTAATTTAAATAGGTGATATTCCTCAAAAATACAGAACTGTAGAATAAATATTTGCAAAAATATATAGTGTTTGTTGTGATTTATTTATTAAAAAGACAGTAATGTCATTATTCCGTGAATGACGGTAAACAATGGGAGAAATTCCTGGTTCACAGTATAATAACGATGTTTTACAAGCCTTATACAAGCTAACTGTCAGGTAAACATACAACAAGCAGTAATATAACAGCTTCCAGAGGTAGCGTGTCTCTTCAGGTAAACAGCTGTGATGTCGTAATCAGTCTGCGCATTTCCCCAAAATAGCACATATATAGGAGTAGCATGGATAGTCGGAACACCGGCTCTGGCTGTCAAGCTGTAGTTCAGAATCCATTCAAAAACCAAGGTTTAAAATATCTCACTTGCAAAATGGCTTCAAGTCCAAAAGTGGGGTACTGGCAGAACTCCGTCCAGACACCATCACCTCATTTTTTGAATCATTCAAACAAAGAAAGGGTAAGGCCAGTGTTACGGCCCCTGCAATGAGAGAAACCATGCGCTCATCTGACAAACAAAGTTTTTTCTTGCCAGTGCAACCAGCTGATTGGCTGCTTTGAATGTCCCTGTACATGCCCCTCTGTGCCACCACTGGTTTGGCTTTGTGCAGCCTGTAGTTCATCTTCAGTGGCTGCACCTGGTGCATCATAAAAGGCTGCTTGGTGCAACTCCAGAGAACGAGACATATCAGAGAGATAACCTTGATGGTTCCTGCCTGTGTGGCATTTGAGACCTTTTGGAGGCCAAAGCTTAATAAAATTACTCTAACTTACGCCATGTGTCCAGACCACCTTCTTATGTTGTGATCCCACAAGCCGGGTCGTAATACCAGCCAAGATTTTATGTCCTGCAAACGTGTCAGTCAAGAGCTCTCTGAGAGCAGATCTTTTTTTTTTTTCAGTGAAACATAGACCTGATAGTCAGTTAGTGAAACGCAAAACTGTGTTTCCAAAAAAATTGATCTCCAAGGAAGCAAATACAGAGAAAAAACAGGTACAAGCCCAGGATGGAACCTTGCGGGACCCCAGAGGACAGAGGTGGAGAGAATTCACAATCCCTTAAACACACCGAAATACACTGCCTGGCCAAAAAAAAAATGTCTGTACACACACACTAAAATATTGTTGGACCACCTTTAGCCTTGATTACGGCACGTATTCTTTGTGGCATTATTTCGATACGCTTCTGCAGTGTCACCAGATTGGTTTCCATCCAATGTTGCATTAATGTTTCCCAGTTCCAGGAACAGCTGAGATACTGATGGTGTGTTTATGATGGTTTGTTCACGTTGGATAATGTTCATTTCAGGAATATTTGTGAACATTTGTGAAAATCATCAAGACCCTTCATCTAGAATATTTCTAATACATGTTTTGCACGACTCAGATGTGGATGCTTGAGTCATACATGTTTATATTCTGTGTGATATGTTTTGTAAACATCTGCACCTGTATTATCCATAGACTGTACATACTGGACAAACGGATTCCATAGGCTCCAATAACAAGTTTTTTGTCCATAATGGGAGGTGGCCACCACCGCCATTTTGACCGTGTCACAGGTTCCGTCCAGCCCAGACAATTCCATAAAAGGGAAGAGAGGAGGCGCTGAGGGTGGGGCTGTAAGGCTGGGATCGAGTGACGAACTAGCTACGAGCTAACCTGAAGCTAACCCAAAGCTAAAGCGGAGGTGGGAGCCGAGCTAACGGATGTAGCCACCTAGCTTCAATTCAACCGGAGCTAACTGGAACACCCAACGACCTGACCCTCACACGGAGTTTAGGTGGAGGTTTTCTGCGCCTGTTCGTGAGAAGTACCTGTATTAAAAAAGTTTTAAATCGATAAGTTTATAATTTATTTCCGTAATGAAAACATTTTGCTTTGAGCAAGTTTTCAGTACAGTTTTTTTTCGGTGCTATCACTCCTGAGTCGCACCAGCCATTAAATGTATCATGAAGAAGAGAAAATATATTTAAGTCGTATTTTGGGGGGACATTTTATTATCTTTCTTACAAAATCTGAGACCAAGCGTTTCACATTGCAACACAAGCACCGGTAACCATAACAGAATGAACAGCCAGCAGAGGAGAGGATGGCGGTGTTTCAAACCCTCCCGGCCGGCGAGGAGAGCTCATTCCTGGGCTGGAGCCGGCCCTCAGCACCCCGCCACAGGCTCTAACAGATGCTGGCGGTGTTTCATATATTTCCAAAACGTAATACTTGTTTGTATCTTGTACAGCCAACTAGCCTTTATTCTGGACTCAGTACAATTTACCAAAAGTAAAGAGACATTCTACAGATGAAGTAAGCACAAGATAACTTACTGGAAGACACAGAATTATCATGAGAACCAGAACAAGAAAACCTGATAACAGTCATGTGAAAATAACAGTTAAAAAGTATGTATGTATAATAGAAATAAAAATATATTAGAATTAGTGTAACTCACTGTGATCCAAACAATAAATCAGCCATAGCTGATTAGTAAATATGAAATGAGGTCTGGGAGTTTTTAAGTTTCATTCTTTTATTACATTTTTTTCTTAGATCTGTTTAAATGTCACCATGGCAGCCTGTGTGTCTCCAACATCAGCTACACAACGCAGCGTGTAAGTTCCTGTCTTGACCACTTCATGTATGGTTTTGTACTTTAAACAATTATGACAAACCTGTTATTTTTTCTCCATAGCCATTTGGATCATTGGAGACAGCTACGTGAGGCGTGGTGCCCAGAGAGCTGCAGAGACAACCTTGGACTCCCTGACGTCTGTGTCTCTTGGTTTGGTTGGGGTGGACCATCGACATACATACATGTGCCGACACTTTGCGCCCTGTTTTATAAACTGTAGTGTTAAAAATAAATGTTTTTGCTCAATTACTGGAATTTCTTTGGTTAAGACAAAAGTGAGGAATAATCATTTACAAGTTATTTGTACAACAGGCCCATTTTAAATCCCAACAGTTTCTTAGCAGACAATAGAAATGTGTTCTTTACTAACTTTACTTGGTTTGAAAATCTTACTAAAATAAACTTGAGTGCCGTATTGCAAAACCCAATCATACTTATGTAAACATTAGCTTTGTAGATATTTTTTACAGATATATATTTGTGTGCAACAAAAACCAAACTTAAATAATTCGTCATTCTTTATTGAAAAACAACAAAATACAGGTATACAGAAGTGTGGGAAAATGATAATGTGAAAGTATTGCACTATAAATGAAGTGAGATGAGATGAAGGTGAGATGAAGGTGGACGCCAGCGGGCTGGACGCCGGACGAGGAAACCTGGAGACGGATCGCTCAGACAGGAAGGGAAGAGCTTCCTCTTACCTTGATGGAATTAAAGTTAGCTGTCGTCTGAACGCCCAACCGTACGGTCTGAGGTCAAAGGTCGCAGGAAACACACACCAGTCAGCAGTCATACAGATGCATAAAGATAACTGTAGCCATGGCAACCAGCTGACATGTCCCCACTTTCACCAGCACCTGGTGCCTGCCGGGTCACCTGAATTCCTGTGTGATGTCAGCACGGTCGGCCGTGACTGCGGCCATCAGAGGTGACCTCTGATCAGCTGAATGAACTCACCTTCCAGGGTGACGCCGTGTTAGAGTCGGCTTCATCCTGTAAACAAACAAACAAACGAGTGGTAACAAAAACACCACGTCTGGTTCTGGTGGAGGACAACACGCACCTTTCCAGGAGCAGAACCCAGATGTTCTTGTTGCTACAAACAGAGACGAGCAGAGTTAAACCAGGAAGTGAGAGGGACCAGCTGCTGCAGACAGGTGACGCTCACCTGAGCCTGAACCATAGGAGCCTCCTCAGCCATCAGACCTTCTGACTCCAGTTCAGATGCCACCTTGTTGATGTCCCTCAGGCGGGACTCGTTGGCCTTCAGGTCCTGCAGGACAAAAGCACCTGCTGATTACCTTGTTGCATTCGGGTTAACAGGTCTGGTGTTAGAACGTGGTGGATAAGAATGTTCTGACGGGCCGAGGGTTCTGAACTCACCCTGCAGGACTGGGCCTGCTCCTTCAGGGCCTGGATGCTGCTGCCGTAAGCTGACAGGTCCGACATCAGGGCCTCGTGCTTCTTCAGGAGAGCCTGTGGAGCAGAACATCAGAACCTTCAGCTCGTCTGACACAAGTGGAGCTTTCTCGCAGCGATGGTCCAATCGGATCCGCCACCGTAAAACAAACCCTGCTCAGTTCACCGCAGACGCAGCTCTGCGGGTGTTTAGTGGAAAAGCGTGAGCCTTCTGCCGGCTGCCACGTGTCATGGCTGCTCTGCAGCGGGAACACACATCACAGCTTGTAAACCGTTTGAAATAAGAGCGACGGGAACACGTTTGTCATCACTTCCTGTGCGAGGCCAGCACTTCTACCCCTAACCCATGAGACGCTCAAACGAGCAACGACGTCTGGTAGACAACCGAAGGAAATGACAGAAACACTAATTATGAAGGACTGGAAAGAGAGCAAAGAAAAGCGATTGGAGTTTCTCAGGAAGGGACTTCCATACCTCGGCAAGTCCTCGTCTTTCCCTTAGTCTGGACTTCCAACGATGGGCTCCTTCTCCCTCATCCAGGACTCGGCCTCATTAGCATCCGCAAAGTACTGCTGGGCCTGCAGAGAGTCCTCCAGGTCCTGCCTCCTCTGGGACGCCTTGGCCTTCAGCGTGTCCCAACGTCCATGAAGCTCCCACAGTTTAGTCTTCACTTCCTCACTAGCGAAGTGACCTGGACCCAAAGTGAGCCAGAACCTGCAGACACCTCAGAAACATGTCAGGACCAGACCTGCTCTACCTTCCTCCATTATGGTCTCTCCTTTCTGGGTGACAGCCTTGATGCGAGGTTCATGACCTGTGATCTCAGCCTGCAGAGCCTGGTGCTTCTTCAGCAGGTTCTGGACACCAATCAGGTCCTTCCCTGAGGACACATGTTAGAGTTCAGCATTATGCAGTAGACAGACCAGTTTAACCCAGGGGTTTCTTTCTTCTACAATCTGCTCTTTAACTGTATCATTTCCTGCTATTTCAGCTGTTAACTTTATTTTTTCTCTAAGTGTTTTTCTCCCCAGAAGAAGCTACAATGGTGTTCTGCTGAGCTGTGGTGGCCTCATGGAGGGGGCCATTGGCTAGCACACTGCTGCTAACCACTTAAACATTCTCCCTCTCCTGATAATAACATTTTACTTTCTTTGATGTTGGATGTGCTACTGCTAGTTTACCCGTTTAATTATAGATTCACTAGGATAAATACAATAAAGTTTATCTCTCGCCAAATAGAATATTTACTAAGAAATCACAATGTAATGTGTGTGTGTGTGTGTGTGTGTGTGTAAAAGCCATGTGTAGTGTTTATTTATAAAGCATATGTTGTTGGATTTTATCCAGAATCGAGACTTTGAAAATATATAGTTTAATTACAGTTTGATTTATTTGACATCTGTATAATGTTTATTATTTTGTTTTTTCCCCCTAAATACCTAACGTTTTAGTTAACATGAATATTAGTCATTCATCCCAAAACATAAAGTTACACATTTTAAATTTTAATAGGGGAAGACTGCAGGAGGGAGCGGTAAAATACAGGGGGTCCCCTGCAAAAACTAACTTTACGAGTCTGATGAAACTTGCTGGTGTTCCCGCTGCTTCTTCGGTAAACAGCGCCAACAAAAACAAAGAAACTTGGGATCTTGTCGGCGTGGCGGTGGGATTTAAGGGAAACGCTGTATGCCCTATAGACTTCTCAACGAGCTGCAGTATTTCTCCGGTCAGCCCGCAGCAGCGAGGCGCCGCATCGGTCAGCCTGCCCAGCCTGACCGCTGAGGATTACCGGATGAAAGAATGGAGCACAGGTGTCCCTCCAAGCGGCACGCTCCGTCATATTTCAACCCATTTTTATCTTAAATGCACTGGGTTTTACCCATCGAAATATGACCTATTAATTATTTTACCGTATTTTACATTTACATTTCATGGTTAAACAGCACATGCTACATGTTAAACTGATAGTTAGCTAGCTACTTCGGTAAACTCAGCTAGTTTAAAGGTGGCAGTGACATAAAATACAAATATAGATTTTAACTTACCGAAAAAAATGAAGTGGAGACTCCTTGGATGCTCTTTTAGTGCAATTAATACCACTGCAAGTCATTTTGTCCAAGTCATATTGCACCAATAATATCCAAAACAGAATTCACAAGCACAGAGACTCAGTTTCCAGGAGGGACCGAGGCTGTACTGAGGCCTTTCCACGGAGCTAGCTCTGTGGTCACGTGGTTCTGAGGCGGCGGTCACGTGTGTCGGCTGCTCATTAATTATACAGAATTTTAGGCTTTCAATACACTTTAACAGAAGAGTGAGAAAAAATTCACCCCCCTCAGAGTTGTCATGAGTGTAAACTAGATAATTTAGACAAAAACCATGTTCTGGTACCAGGCTGTAAACATGTTTATTTCTGCTGTGAAATCGGCATTTTTAATATGGGAGTCAATGAGGATTTGCTCGCTTCTGGCACCAGCCCCCAGCGGATGAGGATGGAACTGCAATTTTTCTTACTTCGGGATGGGACCATTTTCAGAGCGGCATTGTGGGGGTTTGGTATTATCACATTTTCTTTACAAGATAATTTCGTGTTTTAATGGCTTAACTGAAAAATATTTTAGTAGCAAAATTATGCAAATAGCAATTAAAAGCCTGATAATAAATAGGAGCACATGAGAAATTAATTTTATCATTGTCGTAATTTCCCAGGAAACCTCACTTGTTCTGTAAAAATGAGACACCTGGAAAGTTCCTATTTCTGACATGTACGTTTTTCCTCTCCAACACTGAGCAGCAGTTTGAGTGTGGCGTCTCTTCTAATTAAATGTGGAATGTTTCTGAAACGAGGACATGTTTCTGATGCCAAAAAATTAACAGAGGATTTAAAAAGTTGACCATGTCCATGTCTCACAAACTCAAGCAGGCTGAATCATGGACGTAATTTTCACTTTAGAAGTGTGTGTGTGTGTGTGGGGGGGGGGGGGGGGGGGGGGGACACGGGGGAGGGAGGAGGGGGGAGGGGTATCTTTACGGTATGCTCTAATGGGAAACAGACTTCAACACAAACTGTTGTTTTCCGCTTGGTCCTAGAGCTCATCCAGTGTTAATTTAATATAGTGTAATATTGTTTTGGATGGTAAAAAGTGCAGGGGTCAAAACTTGACTTTGGAAAATGTGTGTGTGTGTGTGTGTGTGTGTGGGGGGGGGGGGGGGGGGACATGTCCCCCCTGTCTCCCCCCCCCAAAATTACGTCCATGGGCTGAATAAACGTCCATCAGTGATTCCATGTTTTTGTGCCTTTTATCCAAGTGTCCTTGAGCAGGACACTGCTCTTAATCCTGACCGGAGATCTAACAGGATGTAAAAATGATTCAACGAGAGGTTAATCTCCCGGATAAATAAAGGTCTAAACAATGTTCCATCACGGACCTTCAGCGTGAGCGGGCTTGGTCCCACATTTGATATAAAACCGGATCAGAAGGGCTCACCTCATCACAACGCCTGCACACACCTGACAGGTAAGTCAGCTCATTTTAAATGGCAGCCTGAAGCTTTTTATTGATAGTTTCAGAGTTGCAACAAATTACAACGATGAAGGCTCTAAAGGGGATAAATAAGACATCTGAGTCAGTCTGTGATTTAGTGGTTTTAGGTAATAATTGGGATTGACAGCGGCTCATTTTATTCCTCACAGGATGGTGCTTCAGGCCAGTAAAGAGATATTCCCGTTGATGTTGAGTTTACTTTTAGGATCCTCCTCTATCTTCTGGCATCTTCCTCCAGCAGGTAATGAAACTATTGATGTTTAAGCAAAAGAGAGTTTCCCTTTTCTGTGTTTTAATTTAAAATGAAGAAAAATGTTAAATAAAGAAAAAACCCAGAAGTTTTGAGATTTCAATCAATCAATCAATCAAAACTTTATTTATAAAGCGCCTTCCGCGAGCGACCCTGTTGGGAAGCCCAAGGTGCTGAACACGGTACATGAGAAATGTGAAACATGATGAATAAATCGAAAATAAAAGCAATTCAAATAGTGCAAAAAAGGTAAAACATTAAAGTAGAAGACAAATGGGTAAAACAAGGGATAAAGAGACCAATGAAAACGGAAATATAATCAAAATAAAAGAGGGCCAAATTCAACGAGATTATTTATAGAGAGGGTGTGTCTGCCTCACGGGTGGAACAGGAAGCTGGTTCCTCCAGAATCAAGCCTGAGACCTGAAAGTTCTGTCTCGCGCCATAGAAACTCTAGGAACTGAACCTAAAGCTCTGCTGGGAACATCTGGAACAAGAAGATCAGCTCAAGTTTGATGTTTCAGAGCTTCATAATTTCAAAGTGAAAGTCCAATTCTTGAGAGCCAATAAAGTGATGCTAAAGTGGGAAACGTGATCTCTCTTAAAGCTACAACGACAAACATTAAACATTTTTTCACACCTTTTTTACGTTCTAACTCAGTCACGTGAAGTTTAAAACATAATGAAGGGGTTCTCTCGTATTTGTCTGAAAAAGCCACAACACGGCTCGGCTCAAAACCAACGGTTGGACCATCCAGTCATCGGTCTTATCGAACCCAAAAATAAAAATAGAAACGGAGGGGTGCAAGTTCTGTGACTGTGTTTGTGTTTGTGTTAAAAGCTAGCTTGTTTTGCTATTGCAGCTTTAACTTAAATTGTATGTTCAATGAATTCAAATAAACCCCTAATACTGCACCTGAAAAGGCAAGCCTATAGATTCCCTTGTACTGAAACTGGAACGTTTTCCATCCCCAGTGGCGTTCCAGCTGCCTTTGTGCCAGCTCACCAACCAGACCATTTCTCTGGAGAAGGAGGGCTGCTTCGGGTGTCATCCAGTGGAAACAACCATCTGCAGTGGGCACTGCTTCACCAAAGTAAGTAGTGATGGAAACAACTTCAAAAAATAGAGTTTATGCTGGCTGGAATAATGTAACTGGGGCAGTGCAAACATTGAAATACCTCAGATTGTGATTGATAAAGGAGACAATGTGACTTCTGTCCCCCTCCAGTACCCCGTCGGGCCCATACGATTCAGCAAAGTGTACCAGCATGTGTGCACCTATCAGAACTTTTCCTACAAGACGTTTGAGCTTCCTGACTGTCTCCCTGGAGTCGACCCCATCGTCACCTACCCCGTGGCTTTGAGCTGCCGCTGTGGCCGCTGCTCCATGGATACGTCCGACTGCACCTTCGAAAGCCTGAAACCTGACTTCTGCATGAATGACATTACCTTTTACTACTAGTGTAGCAGCAGATTAAAGATCATTCAAAAAGAAAACAAATGTGTCGGCGTACTAAACATACTGAATGTTACGAGAAAATGAAAGAAATATTAATGCAACAGGTTAAAAACAACAATGTTTTAGGAAGTATTCAATGATTCGACAACACAGTACCGAGTCTGAGATCAGAGATCAGCTTACGTTTTGCTTGTAAATTGTTTTGTAATTAAGTTTGTGATTTTTCTTTTAAAAGGCGTTTGGTGACTTTTCGCTTTGTTTTTTTATTATCTACTAATGGATTAAACATGGCAAATGCTGTGGCACTAGTTCATATACAGTTCTGTGAGTGTGGGTTTAGTTTATTTACACATCATTATTATATAAGTTTTCCACAGACATCAACAAGCTGAAAGTGTGGGGCAGTCGCCCAACAGAGCATGGGTACCTGCCTGAAATGCCAGATCACCTCTAGTCCTGAAGGTATTACAGGGCACATCTAATAGCTGCTGACCTGAGGGTCTGAGGGAGCATGGCGCTTTATAGTCAACAGCTCTAGGATGTTGGTCAGGCTGAGCTCTAGAAGTGACGGCTAAATCAATTGAACCCTAAGCCTATGACAGGAAACTGGATGTGCAAAGGGATCAACCCAGGTAAGCTGCTCAGGGCCCAGTTACCTACAGGCAAGGGTCTATTAGATATTTGTCTAATGTCTGTTGGAAACAATAACAAATAATAATGTATAATAAGTCCATCCCAGCATTCTACATGATCAGTAAATTAAAAATACCTTGCCAGGCCAAAAGAAAGTTGCCACCTTAAAGACAGATCACACAATAACATTTTGTTTTCGTTACGACACGCATTCGCTGTGGTGTTGTTTCCATAAGCTTCTGCAACATCACCAGATTTGTTTCCATCCAGTGTTGCATCAATGTCTCCCTAAGCTCTTGCATTGATGATGGTAGAGTCTGACCGCTGCACAAAGCCTTCTCCAGCACATCATTCTCAATGGGGTTAAGGTCTGGACTCTGTAGTGGCCAATCCATGTGTGGAAATGACGTCTCTGAGAGCAACAGTTGGCACAGTATATGATAAAGTATGACCATTGAGATATTCTAAATATGAGTCATTTTTGTCAGATAGTATTTTACCTGGAAATAAAACGCTTCAGTGTGAGCTCCGCCAATTCATCACGTAACCGCAAAGCATCATCACAAGGAAGATGGCCAATTAAAAGGGAGCGTCCTTGGAAATACACACGTCCACCAAAGTTAGTAAACATAAAGATGGATGACAGTACCACGAAGATTCATTCTGGACCCAGAGTTTGAAGTTTACAATGTACCACGGAGACCACGTAGGATGCTGATGGACTTTTCAAATTGACAATTTAAAAGCTATTGTTTTATATTTTTATAGCCTATTTTATGAACAATATAATGCATTTGATTAAACATCACATTTGAACAACACAAATGCATTGTAGAAACATGGCATATATGTATGTTTTACTCATTTAAATCAATTTTTTTCAAAAACAACAAGGCTATCATGTTATAATGTATCACTATAATTTTATTTTTGTGTTTACCAGCTCTTACGCTTCCGGTCGGTAACAAGATGGCGCCTGTGCTTGGCTTAGCCGCAGTCACCGGCCACTTTTTCAAACTTTTCTCCACTAACCTCCTCTTTTCCACCTTGCTCTTGTCTGCGATCCTCTTCAGTAGTGTCCCTGCTACCATCTCCTATGATCGCCAGACTCTTTTGTCCTTCCGTTCGTTCACGATCGCCCAAGATGCATCGAGGACGTACCTCCCTGTTTGTTTATCTGAGTAGTGCACTGGCCCGGAGATAAATGACGATTCCAAAAGGGGCGCCTCCAGCAATGTTTATCTGGTCCCGGGAATACGTTGGAGGAAAAGAGTTAAACGAGCAGGAATCCAGGTGTAGTGGAATATAGTTGGTACATTCTTACACTTATTAAGGTACAGAGATTAATCTTACCTTAGAATCAGAAGAGGTTGTTTTTACCACAGGGAATTTTATTCAAACACTTTGTATTGACTTAGAGACAAGAAAAGGGAAATATGGGACGTTTAAGAATATTTATTTTATAATTATTCGAAACAATCTCCAGGACTAACTCTCTAATGATGGATGAATATGGATTTGGATGCTGAAGTGTTGGTGTGTGTGTGCCAGTTCAGAATCTCCATCTGGTGCGAGGCGAGTCTGAGGGCAAGATGTTGTTTTGACTAACTTCAGGACTTCAGGAGGAAGAGACATGAAACGCCATCTATGCCGAACTACGTACCTTCGGAGACTCCCGTGTATGATCCGGAATGCCAGGTCCTCGGACCCTCCTTTGGTGCTGGAACTGATAGCGCAGCGTCTGCAGGACGACAAATCCGGTCTACGGATCGACTCCCGGTAGCAACGGCAGGTGTCAGCGTCACGTAGAGAGTTCAGCTTTTATTCTGAAGGAACCGTCGTCTTGTTGGTAAACAACAGAATATTTCCAGCTTGACAGTTCTCAGCTTAAAAGTAGAAAATACAGCTGGCCAGTCTGCACTTTACTTAGCGATGATGGATTTGAGAGCTGGTCCAACTCACGTTGGAACTACATTGAAACTTGCGGTGGAACTAAATTAAAATGGCGTGGTTCTGTTTTATTAAGCTTAGATGTTTATGAATCTTAGCCAACCGGAGTGGACAGATGAACTAAACACCACAGAACTCTGCCCCGCAACAGAACGGAAGTTCTGATTGGATGAGTGAACAATGTGCCATGTGTTTATCTTATGTGGATCAGAATTCTAGCTCAGTTAGTCCTGTGATTCATTAAAACACAAATCATAACATTGTGATTTCACAGATCAGTCACCTGATTATTATTGACCAACAGTTGTTTTGATTAGCTTTATTAGAAATAAAGTTCTTTGATTAACTAATGAAAAGCGTTCTTCGTCCTTCTTCTGTCTTCTTTGCTAGAATGTAAACACCACAAGCAAGCGCACGACCTTGGCAATTTATGCACACTGTCACTGTGTCAAAGGGCAGCTGTTAAGGGCAGAAATGGCATATTCATAACGCTACACAGGTGAGAATAAGACTTCTCTTAAAGGGTGGTTTATCTAGTAAACATCGGCATGATCTTCTAGCTTCTTGTCCTTTGTTTGGTGACCTGAGCGCCACTTATGCTTTCCCACCAGGCCGCGTTGCGGTGCGGTTTCTCCGTCCAGGTTTTTTAAGGTCGGTTTATCCTCATTCCTCAGTGGTTTCTCCTCCTGTTCCCTCCATAAGTGGTTTTTATAAACACAGTGGATCTAACCCTGCTAATTTACGTCCACTAACTCCAGCTGTTTCTGTAGTTTCTGATTCCTCCACCTCACTCAGCATGGCTCTATTAAATATCCGCTCTGTTAACAATAAGACCTTCCTGCTCAACGAACTAATTCTGTCTAAAAACCTGGATTTTCTGTTTCTGGCTGAAGTTTGGCAGCAAACATCTGATTATTCTGGTCTGACTGAACTCTGCCCGAGTGGTTATTCTTTTCTTAGCCAGCCCCGGGGTTCTGGTCGTGGTGGAGGCCTAGCTGTTGTTTTCAGAGACCATCTTCCATGTAGCTCTACAACCTCTGGTCACTTAGCTTCCTTTGAACTTTAGCTGATTAAAGTCGGGCCTATGGACCCGTTCTACTGTGCTGTAGTCTATCGTCCACCTGGTCCAAACAGTTCTTTTCTTCAGGAGTTTAGTAACTTTCTATCCTCCACTGTGAAGCTGTCCAGACTGGTGATTGTTGGTGACGTTAACATCCACATTGATGATCCCTCTGATCCCTTTGCCGTGGATTTCTCCAGCCTTATGGACTCCTTCTGCTTCACCCAGCATGTTTCTGGCCCCACACACACCAGGGGGCACACTCTGGACCTTGTTTTTACCCTGAGTCTAAATGCTGACAGTGTTTGTCCTGAGGACGTTTATATTTCAGATCACCATTGCATTTTCTTTAACTAGTCAGTTTCTGCATCCCCACCTCCTACTCACCGTATGATTAGTTCTCGTTTTATTAATGAGAGCACGGATAGCAATTTTTCTGCTGCTTTTGATCCACCCTGTTCTTCTGATAACAAATCAAATCAAAGATACTTTATTAATCCCAGAGGGAAATCAGAGTTTCAGTACACACAATTCAGAGATCAGACATACATGGGCAAGACACATGACAAGAATTGGTGGCTGTGGTCATTCGCAACCCTGAGTTGCGCTACCTTAATAGAGATAAGAGGGTTACATGAGGATTGGTTCAGGTGGAGGGAAAAAAAGGCACTTCAGAGTTACCCTCCACCAGGAGAGCAGCTTTGCTCTGCAAAAAATAACAACAACAAAAAAAACTCAGACAGATATGCAACAGACTTCAGACAACACAACATAAGTGTCCACTAGGTGGGGTGGTGGGTTTGGGACTATCCTCACTTCAATTCCTGCAGCCACGATAGAAGCAGCGTCACCTCAGTGTGGATAGGGGGAGGAGCATTGAGGGCTGGAGGGTTGCAGTGACCCTGGAACGATTCAGCAGCCTTCCCGCAGTCCCGCCCAAGCTGGGATAGGAGACAGAGTTGAGTTGCCATAGCGACAGCACATTCCACTAGGGATGGGTACCTTTGACATCTGAATCGATTCGGTACTAATTCCCGGTACCTAGGAATCGATACCGGCACTTAACGGTACCAATTTTAGATACTTTTGAGTGTTTAATATTTTAATTCTTTTTTATAATTAAATATATATATTTCTCAATTTATAACCATATTTGATAAATATCACGATAAATAACATACAACTGTTTGTATTTTATTAACATCGTCCTTGTAGTTTTATAAGCTGATAATTAAACTGAAGCAAACATCTTTACTGTGAACAAAATTTACTGTGTATCTTCATTCCTTTTGCCTTCCTTTTTCATTTGATTTTTCCTACTGGGAAGTTAGAATTTCCGAGGAGAAAGCGAACGTACCATTTGTCAAGATGTGGGGATGTTTAGAACCCAAAATGCAGATTACCCAGAATGACACGAGGCAGGAGATGGTGTAAAGTAAAAATCCCTTTATTTGGTGGAGGAAACAAATAAATCCAGGCAGCGAGCCTCAAGTACACAACTCCAACGCTGGAGAAACAAAGCTCACCAAGAGCACAAGCAAACACTGACAGAATACAAACACATACAATGGACCGACACCAGACGAAGACAAGACAGGGCTTAAATAACAGGAAGGAGTCAATTAGGGAATTGGCAGCAGGAGTGTGAAGTGAGGGCTGGAGGGAAGACA